ACATTGTTTTTTCATGTGAAACCTTCATAAGAGTGTATATCAATCATACCTTAATAAAAAAATTTTAAAAAAAGGTAGTTAAAGCAGGTAACCCTGTCCCACAGATTTTAAACTAAGAAAAACAAGTATATATATTTTGAAGGCACAGACTACCTTTGGTCTAATGCCTTTCAGAAACAGGCAGACATAAATAACTCAAAGTTACACAACACAAAACAGATGTCTAAAGCAATCAGCACGAGCAGCCAGCCACAGGTGGCAGGGGGAGAGGGACATCTCACATGTTCTCTCAAGAACTTTGTATGTTGAAGCCAACCCTTTAAAGCATCTAAAATGTAAGTGAGGAGAAAAGCCAGGGGTTAATTTCACCTGTACTAGAGTCTAGAGCTACAGGTAAACCTTGGGTCTCTTCCAAATTGTTTGAACTGTTTTATACTTTCATATTCAAATTCTGATTTTGATTTCAAGGGAAAAATTCAACTTCAAATTTGCTCAGCTAGTTGAGATTTTTCTGTCAGTGAATGTGGCCTTCATTAAGTACTTCTGAATGACTTGGATTTTTTTCCACATCAGCTCCAAGCAGCAGCTTTTCCTAAGCACCGTGCTCTCCCCAGAACACCTGCCCTGCCAGGCTCCAGGGAACGTGTCCTCAGGCCACTTGCTTTGTCTTTGCTTAGAGCATCTCCCACAGCTTCAGGCCCCAAACCACAGCTCTACAGTGCCTGTCATCTGGGTTGGTAGTCACGTGGACTTTGTTAGTTTTTTGGAAAGAACGCATTCTTGTTTTCTCTACGTTTTCAAAAGCATCCTGATCTCAGTATGTCTCACAAATGCATTCAGGTATCATCAAATGTTCGCTAGTTTGCTGAAGGCTTTTTCAAAAACCCAAGCTCCAGTGCTTACGAAAACATGGATCTCCATAACCTGTACTCATTCTCCCCAGCACACTTCACTGCATCCCCAAATTAGCTCCCTGTTCACCTGCTCCACTGCCATGTCCTTGATAGGCTCCTTTCTGTACCAAGCTGATTAGTTTGGAAGACTGGGGTCACCCTAGACAAACACGGAGCCTACTACTGAGGCAAAGAGAAGCCTGAAGCAGCTCAAACATCGGCAGGATTTTAGTACATACTAAGGTGAAAATTTATTTATAGACTAAATTGAACCTCTTAGCACACATGACATTACCAGATTGACTGTGCTCATTAGTAATAACATTGATGACACTTAGCATATAATTACAAGTCCGTGTCCACTGAAATAACAAGATTTCTGAAAAACAAAATCCTTGAGATGAGACATGACACACACACTTAGACATTTACTTAAATAAATGCTCATGATTTTATACTTAGAAATTGCAAATTAGGTCCAATTCATCCATTCTGTGCAATACATAAAAATGCATGTATTTTTATACCTAATTATTAAGGTTAATTATGTTATCAGGTTGGAATAATTTATACAACACAAGTATCTATTATATCACGACATGCCTGTTATTTATATTTTTAAAATATATTATTTTGTGATAATTTCTATTACAGAATTAGATACTATACACTTTCATCAAAGATGACACAGCAATGCTTTAGCACTTAAGGAAACCAATACTCCGATGAAGCAGCAGTTCAAATCTGACACAAATCTTCAAACTGAGGTGGTAACATGTTTACTTCTTACATCAAGTCCTCGGTATTACATAAAGACCATGAGTTTGTTTCCCATTTTGGCCAACAAAATGGGCTTGTGTGCCCCCCAGTCATGGGCAGAGACCTCTCATACATACGTGGGATTTAACAAAGAGGAGAGGTATCAGTGGATAAACACAAATCCAGGTTCTCTCTCCTAGCACATTGATTCAAAAGGTACTTATGCCCCACCTGTAGGGGGCCAGAAACATGTCATTTTTCTCACAACAGGCAGAGTACTTTTGAAGGGGAAGGAAACCAAAGGAAGCTTCTAGAGAAAATTACAAGTACTGAGATTTAACAAGGTGGGAACGAGTCAGTCATACTCCCTAAACTGAATCAATCCCTGGAAATACAAATGTCATTATCTGCATCAAATAATCAACTGAAATTTCTGTCAGATGCTTTCGTCCTCCTTGGTTAGGGAGGTGGAAGAGGAAGCTGCTAGCAGCTATCCATTTTACTTTGCTTATATAGGGAAAATAGCTGTAAATTGACTTCCAGTTGAACGGTTCCTAAGTGGAGAGAGGGTGAACATTACCCTCAGAGTGATGTACAATCCAGGAGACAGATTCACAACATTACATACACAATCAAATCTTGGCATTTTCTTATTCAGATTATCTCTCTTCTAACAAAAGGTCATAAAATTCGTTAGAAAGTAATAGATTACAGGGATAATTAACTCTAAAGCAGAGAGCTATTGCCTTCATCCACTCCTGGCTGTTGGCAGGAAGTGAAGGAATGAACAACTGCCTACACAACTTCTAGAAAGCAGAACTCTAGCTTGGAATCCACTCTACGTTTCCTCTGGAGTTTCATTTCAGAAGACAGCTCCATACAGCAACACCCTCCTCTTGACTAAGGACAAAGAGCTCTGGAAGGCAGACCACATGCGGCTGTTCACAACTTTTTAAATATCAAGTCCTAGCCTGTATTTTGCAGGGCACTGTTTGTTCAACTTGTTTTACCTTCAGAAGGACAGAAAATCAGAGCAAAAGAACAGGCCGATGGCCAAAAGAACTTGGCCATTTAGAAACATTTGCTCCTGTACAGAATCCTCACTTAAAATTTCCCATTGAGTAAAAAAGATTAATGTCAAATGTGTGTCATCTCTGAGGTGTCCAATGTTTCAAGCAAATCTGGTCCTTGAGAGGACGTCTTATGCCAGAGTCTCACCCAGGCTACCCCCTGGCTGACTGATTTACTACTGAGAACCAGCTATAAATACAGTGAAAATATCCTTGGGTCCAATGTGGGTAGAAGACCTTTAATAATCTTTTAATTTATATACAGCCCTCATTAATTTATTAGTGTTCAAGAACATATGATTTGTGTTAAAGTCTTGTCTGAATGGATTATATAAATTCTAAAAAATACTTCCTAGGAAAAAAAGTTTAGTCATCAAAAAATGAGCAATGCCAACGTTCATGATCTCTTGCTCATAGCCTAAATCCCACCCTGCTGGCAAATTCCTCTTCAGAATTTCTCAAATGATGAGGCAGAATCCCACCCTGCTGGCAAATTCCTCTTCAGAATTTCTCAAATGATGAGGCAGAACCCCGACTTAGTAGTAACAGATCTCAAGTACATGAAATACCTGCTTGTACACATAGACACACAAACACTTCACAAACATTCAGGAGTTAAAGAAATATTCAGTTGATCAAATTAGCTAATCTGGACCATAGCTGGCATTGACATTTGAAGAGTCAGCTGGAGACCCAGAAGGACCAAGCTTAGAGAGTTGAATTCAGACAAGAGTATCTGCGTGGTTATTCAGATATGGAGCACCCCAGGGCAGGGACTGTAAAAGGTGCTCAGTGTGAAAGCAAGCGGTGCCTGCATGGATTTCAGGGAATACAAACACAAATCGAAAATGAAGAAATATCAAAACAACTGATCTTGCCAACAGCCTGTTATCATAACTCAGGACACCAGAGAGGTAAGAGGGCACTCTGCAGCTCTCTCGGGAAGGATTTTTGAAGCCACGTTTCCTTTAAGTAACAGTGACCTCCAGTGACTTTTGAATTGTACCTCAGAATAGTATGTTCAGTTACTCTACAATTCATCTGTACGAGCAAATCATTTTAGTACTAGTTTTTAATTTCTTAGAGAAAGAACAGATGCTCCATTGCAGGATCCAAGGAGTTGATTTTATTTAAATATCCCATTTTAATTAATTCATGGAGGTTGTCCCACAAAGCTAAATGAAAACTGTGTCTGAAACACAGGTTAGTATTTGCCTAATGGAGAACTAAGGCTCATTTTTAGGAGTGACTCACACACAATATGGCATTAAATGAGCTAATACTAAATGATGACAGCACAGATTCATCACAGCCTCGCTACATACATGGATGAATGCGTGGGCGGGTAACTTTATTCCTAATGCTTTATTTACACTTTTGTGCCAACTTCCCGGTGATGGCAGAGCCGGGACCCCAGTTGCAAGGTCAGGATCCGGACGCGCCTGCTGTCACCTTCCTGAAATGCACACCAGCTTGTCTTACTCCCCCACAACCTGGTTTTTAAAATATTCTTGATGAGGAGTCGGGCAGGGAAGGACAAGGAGGACTTCCTTAAAATCCCTCAAGTAAAGAAAAGCCCTGTGATAGCGATTTCAGTCTGAATAACGCTTCTTAAACTTTGTCTGGTTTCCAGAGGAAGATGCCTTGAGGTCGGCTGGATCCGCCAGTCCGGCATCTCAAGCTCGGATCAGCGCCAGTCCGGAACCGACGTTAAGGCAGCTTCCCTGAACAGTAAAATCAGGGCCGCTGAGCAGCGCAGAGGCAGGACACCTGCGCGAACCTCAGCGCAGATTCCTTCGGGCAAAGGCCGCCTGCCTACGTGGCTGGGCTCCCGGATCGGGTGCGCGGTCGCGGGCTCCGCACGGCGCCACCGGCTGCGCTACCGCAGGACGGCCCGTGGCCTTGGCGACCTGGGCTACAGAATGCGCCCCACCGAAGGGGATGACCGCTCCGCTCCGGCCGCCGTCCTCCCGCCCTCGCCGCCTCCGCCCGCAGGGCTCGCCGCCGTGGGCTTCCCTGGAACTGGAGCCTTCTCGGCCGATGTTCGACCGAACGCACAGCGCGCAGCCCTCAGACGCCAAGTCACCATAGGCTTGGCTGCACTTACGTTCGGGACTAGGAAGCGGCATTGCACACCATCCCGTCTTGTCGCTGGGACTTTGCGGTGTTTTTTTTTTAATGCCTCATTTCAGAAACATGCCAGCGACGCGTCCTTAAATATCCACGACCACAAATTGCAAGTTGTTAGTACAAGTTTCTAAAGACGCGCGGTACTCACAAGTGTCCCTCGCCAGCACTGCGCTCCGGCGCTCGACAGACAAAAGGAAAAGCACGCCGAGAACGGCTCCGGCGACCGGTTCCATGGTCCGCGGGCCGACTCGGTGCCCAGGCCCTGCACTCTGCAGCGGGCCGCCTCCGCGCCTCCCGCCTGCCACCCCCGTCTCCCGCGCCCCGCGCCCTCTCCAGGCCGCCACCGCCCACCTGCGGCCACGTCCTCCCGTGGCCACGCCCGCTCCGCCTCCGCGCTGCGGCTCCGCGCGGCCCGTGCGCCTCTGGTGGTGGCGAACGGAAGTGGGGGCTCCGCGCCTGCACCGGCGGCTTCCTGCCTGGAACCCCCCTCCCGCGGGCGGCGGAGCTGCGGGCCCAGCGGGAGAACTTAACGGCGAGACGGTGTCGGAGCGTTGGCGCTGCTCTGAGCCTTAGCATCGAGGCGAGGAAAACCCTTTTTTTTTCCGATTGGAAAAGAGGACGGGAGTTTTGAAGAAAACATTTACTAACGATTGTAAAGAAGACTTGGTTTCCTCAACCCTTCTAATGATTCATATTTTTTAAAAAAACACCCTACCAAAAAAAAAAAAACACCCTAACGAAGCTATGGTGATCATTTCGTAACATATGCATCAGACCATCGCTGTCATGCACCCTCACCCTTCACACTCTGGTATGCCAAGTTGTAGCTTAATAAAAATGGAAAACAGGAAAATTACGTCTTCATTTTAAAACACACCCCACTTCGGCTTTAGTGTCAGCATTTTATTGTGTATATTCCCATTTGGAGAATTAGAGAATTATGACCAGTTATGTGTAAAATCATAAACTGGCATCTTGGGAGAAGGAATGTTATTCCAAATATCCTCACAGAAGATTAGACCTTATAACCAAGTACAGGAATTGAATAGAGTTGACTGATAAATAAAGGGTTTTGAAGCAACCTCTATCTCCTGTGAGTAAGTGTACTGCTTTCCACTTAGATTCTTTAATGGCAATTCCCAAAAAGGACATATTGAAAAATGATAGGATGTAAAGGAAAAGGCATCTCAAAAAAAAAAAAAAATACTTCACAGTATAAAGATAGAAGCCATCTGTCCCTGGAGAGGATTACAAGACCCATGACTTTGAAGCCAGTTGCCGGTCTAGTGGTCTCTCCTCTTCTTCCCAGAAGGCTACATATAAGCAGAGGTAAATCAAGGATTTAGGGGCAGCGCATCCCAGGGATCAAAACTCTCCCGAAAGAAACCCTGACCAAACCTAGGACAGAAGAGCTGAGAGGAGGAGAGGCTCCAGGCGTTCTTACACCTCCCAAAGCGATCAGAATGTGAAAGGAACTTCAACCTTTAACAAGGCTTCACTTACCTGAGAGCACAGCAAAAAAGGTGTTTTTATTATTCTTATTTGACAGAATGGGAGTGGGGGACGAACAGCAATACAAAACAAAACAAAACTCAAATACCTTGCCAGAGCCATAAAGTTAACAACTGGAAGTGGTGGGAATCTGACTGAAGTAGGTAGCTTCTGATCCCAACTTCGCAGCTTTCTCCACTTCCACTAAGGGCCACTGGGAACGCTTCCCACACCCCAGCCGTCAGCAGCCCTCGGGGACACTGACAGGACGCTTTCTCAGAAGGTGCGTTTGGGGGCTTGAAAAAAGACACTGGCCGGGGGCTGGGCTGGGGGGTAGTGACCTTCATTCATTCCTCAGACACTTATCCCTTGCCTGCTATGAGTCCGTGAATAACTTATTTCTAAATTTGTAAAGCAAAAATAAACGAATGATTTATTCAAGGTGCAGTTTTTTTAAAATAAGTCTACATATCAGGGCACTCTGTGTGTGTGTGTGTGTGTGTGTGTGTGTGTGTATTCTAAATAAATGATCACAGCACTCTGAAGTAATTATTACTACTCCCATTTAACAGCTAGATAGAGCGAACCTCAGAGAGTTTAACCAACGTGTCCAGAGTCACACAGCATGCCAGACTTGGAAGCCAGGTGGGCTGAGCTCTGAAAAACCTTTTTTTTAGGACCTCAGCATCTCTGTAACAGAAGTGTTGTCAACCCATGAAAACTCTGTATTCAGTTGTTCACATTGAAATCCATTTAAAAGGGGTTAGCAGGAGCCTCAATAATTGGTGCAAAAAAAAAACCAAAAGGCCAGTATTGGTAAGTGACTTCAGCAGGCATCAGGATGGGTCTTCACAAGTCAGAGATGAGACCCAGCAACAGAAAGCATCGGGACTCGTGGCAGCTGTCCCCACACAGTGCAAGGCATTGAGCTCTTAAATATTCAACTGAAGAAGTTTTAAAGATCTCATGAATTAGGCAGCACCCCATCTAGGAAGTGGAGGGGAGCTCCAAAGGGCTAAAGAAAGGGAAAGGTGTTTAAAGGTAGGAAAATGAGGTCAAACAGATAAAATGATTGTTTGGGGGTAAAGCCACCTTCCTTTGGGGTGAAAATCTATCTTATGGGGTGGATTATCTCCTCTTCCTTTGAGGGGTGGAGAGGGCCCATGTGATAGATTACCTGACTGACCACGAAATTGGAAAGTGATTACATTCCTGGGGAAGTTGCAATTAAGTTAGGCATAAAGCCCTGGTTTGGTGACTCAGCCTAGCAGAGGTGACTTGGTTTGAGGCCTCTGGTTTGCTTTTGGACAGAACTCTGGACTGGAGGTCAGCACCAGGAAAGCTGATAGAGGAGAGGCCCAGTGTGGAGGGGTGAGGAGGCTCTGCAGAGCCATGGCCAAGGGAAGGCCTTGCGGGCAGGCAGTCACTGTGGTTCCTTGGTCCAGCCCTCCAGCTGTCTCCTCTAACAGCAGATATGGTGCCTTGCTCTTCAGTGGTCTTGTTTGTAAAATGGGGACCGTAGCCGGTCACAGGGCCTGCTGAGCACTCCATGTACTAGCCACAGAGCCTCCTGGGAGCTGGTACAAGCCGGGAGCCTGCCAGCCTCTCAACACCTTTGAGCCAGCTTCCTAGTCTGGCTGGTACAATAAAGACAGTCTCCTCACATAAGACCCACCTAAGGATTAAAGCAGAAAATGCTTGTTAAGTGCTTAACATCATGCCAATCAGGAAGGCCCTGGGTCAGGCAGGCATTATGTTAGACTCTGGGCTCAGAGCAGGTAGGACACAAGCCAGACTGCCGAGGCCTGGGAGCTAAATCCTGGCGGGTCAGGGAGTGCTGCTGGCTCGATTTCCTGAGCTCTTTGCTAGTTTAAGAAGGAAAGATGAAGAAAATGTGGAAACATTATTTCACACATTGCTACAGCTGACGATTCAAACCCCCTAGATTACTTCTCTGTGTGTGTGTGTGTGTGCGCGTGTGTGTCAGCGGTCAGAGCTCACACAAAGTATAAGGAGTTTGAAATCAGCATGAGTCAACAAAGAAAAGACAAGAAATCAACTGCTGATATTCAGAAGCCATTGGACATTTGTGCATGTGACTGCGGGCAGGATGTCTAAGAAACATTTAAGTTAAATCAAACTCGCGGCCTTTCCTGCCCACCATCTATATCTGTCCTGCCTGCACACTGAGGTCCAGCCCCTCTCAGAGCAGGAAGGACCGCTAGCCCGGAGTAAAGCTTTTCCTAGGGCTCTCTACCTATTAAAACAGGACTCCATTAATTTTCCTTCTTCATTCAGCAATTTTCTCTCCACAAATTTTTACTTCTGTATGTTTTACTTAAATCTGGAAATACATTTAATTTGCCTCTCATAAGGGGACCAGATTTGTCATTAAATCCTTTGAAAGGTAGAATACTGTGAATAAAATATAATACTATTTTTATTAGGAGTAATTTTTCCCATAAGTCCCCAGGCAACAAATCCTGAAGAACAATTATCAAGAGACAGACTCCAGTGAGAATAAATGTCACATGTGTGGTATAAAACATGCTGCACAGCATCTTTTCAGATTCTCTCTGATGAGCTGTATTCCTATAATTAGTCGTTGGAAAGCTGGGGTTTTAACTACCACAGGATTATGCATCTGATTACATAAATCTCAGCTACAAGAACAGCCAACCTCATACTTTTTTCAAATTTAGCCTGCTTCGCCCCAGCAGGACTTTTTGTGACTAACAGTTGTATGAAATCAACTTAGAATAAACCACACCTAAGAACCTGAAGTATAAAAACAATACTGCCTACTTCAAAAATGCTGAAGGAAACATAGTCTCATGATTATACAATTATATTTTGCTAAGGAAATATACACACATTTCCTGACATTCTGGCATGGATAGAATAAGAGAAGCCTGAAATTAAAGAGGACATCAGAGTCAGCTGGCCAGCATTCTACCCACTCAATCACCACAGGCTCCAAGATGGTCCCGGCCCATGTCTGTTGAGCAGCAGGAAGGGCACAGCCATCAGTGGAGAAGAGAAGGAGACTGAAACTTCCTTCCACCACGGCGCAAAGGTGAATAAACCCCCTGACTCAGACACATAAGTTTCCAAAACCAAACTTTATTTTTTCCTTAAAAAAAAATTTATTGACATATATTTGTACCTTTTAAACAAAAAAAAATTCTAATTTTATGGAAGGCATAAAACTGAATTGTTCTTCACTGCCTTGATGATAGGAGAAAGGAGGCAGAGTTGAGTGTATTCTAAAAAGTTCTTTTCTAATTTAAAACTAAAAACATCTGATCTTGACTTAAGAATGTGAAAAGTCATGCTTGAAAGGGCAAAATTTCTAACTATGATTTTATACATTTACAATCAAACTTGTACTTCTTTCAGTATAGAAAGCAGAAAATAAATAAATGTATGGATGAATGCATTTGGATTGAGAGACCTCATTTACAAATAAAGCATTTAGTACAAAAACACAATGCCAATCTATGATGTATCAATCTGAGGAGAAACTGAAAGGACAATAAATAATTTATGAGTGTAGCTGTTGCAAGTGTTAGGTTTAATGGTAAAAAGCTAAGAAACTATTTTTCAGAAATATTTACTCAGGAATCTTTAAATGGTGGCACCTTCAAATAAGTTAGGAAAATGTGAAAGAAAAAAAATGAGCAAATGTGGCCAGTGTGAAGTGTTGCTTTTATCTCAGGGTGAAAAAGTAGTAATATCATCTTAAGCACCCAATTCCACGGACAAAAATACTTTCTAAATTTGGTTGACAGTAGAGTTAGTTGGCTTTAGTCTCAATGTGAAATCTACCAGGAGGTGTGGAGTTGTTCACGAGAATGAATACACACCATGCTTTGTATGCTGTAGA